TTCCTTCCAGACACACCCCGTGCCGCCAATTACGTCCTCCCGCCGTCAAATTTCCAAAATCTTAAAAAAAGAAGTTCAGTAAAAGCACTGCACACAACATTCGCGTATACGCCGAGAAGGTTTGCGCTCTTGTCGGGCAGATTATTTGGGTTGGCCCAGTGAGACCGCCAAAGGTCTGACCGAAAACCTTCTGGTTTGTATCCACTGCTCTAAATCTGTTCCGGCTGCTGCGGGAAAAAAAAGGGGCTCCCGGTCCCCAGCAGCATTTTCTAAGGAAAAATTTGCCCTTGTGGAAGAGGCAAACATGGGGAAAAGAAGGGATTTTCCACTATTTTCCCGACAGCTTTGGTATATACAGCACAACGCTCTGACAATTTACAATGTTCTTTCGAACGAGAGATCTTCTGAATGATCTCATAAAACGGGGTTAAGCATTTGAGATGGAAATATTAGGATTTTAAGCTTAATGTCTACATTGAGTGGCATTTGCTTGGACTGAGATAGGCCAGGGTGGAACTCATGGCAATTTTTTTTTAGGCTCTCACAAGTTAAGGGTTTGGTTTTTTTTTCTCATAGAAGTCAAAATTATGGCAGTTCTAATTAAAACTTCCATCTTCCCTTTTTCTGGTCCCCACGGAGCTTTTAGTTGTGGCTTTGCTACAGCACTGAATGAAGCAATGAGCAGCAATCTTTACTTCCGAAATAATTTTTAACTAGCCCTTGATATCCTCGAGGGAAAGTGTCTTGCATGCTAAACGCCTTCAGCTCTTATTTAAATGCACTTAAACTCCTTATTTTTATTTATTTTGACACTCGGTTCTCCCTATTTACCCAGTAGAGCCTGCAGAAAGCAACGCAGCCCAAATTCACATGGGATTTTGCTCTTGGGCTCGGCTCCCTTTTCCATTGGGAAGGGGGGCAGCGCCTCGCTAGGAGAAATGCAGCCCCAGTGCCGGGGGTGCTACCCCTTGGGGGCGGTTCTGGGCAAAATTAGGGCAGGGAAGTCCTCTTCTGGGGTGTGGGACAACCCCCCTCCCGGGCTAGGACAGGCCAGGTGGCCCTTCTGTCCCCCATCCCCTGCTAGGGGTGGCTTTGTGGGGATGTTTATGCCCTGGACGTCACCCCGCCGTTACGTGCCCCTTCACGGCAAGGGAACGCGATGGAGGTGGACGCGGCGCCCTCCTGGACCTCATCCTGCCGAGGCTGCCAGCTGGCACCAGCTGCCCCCCACCCCTCCTTCCAAAAGGGTCCCGACACTGCAGAGCTGCTGCTAGGTCTAGGGCTGAGGCTGGGACGCCGTGCGAAAGGCTGAGGAGCCCAGGAGCTCCCTCCACCTCTGTCGGCGCTACTCATGCCCCACGGAGAAGGAGGGATGGATCCCACCTCTCGCCAGCACCGCCCTACAGAACCGCGGTGGCCTCGGCTGCCTTGCGGCATTCCCGGTGAGGTTAACAGGATCCACAAAGAGGAGGAGACCGGGGTCTTGGGTTATGTGTGACCCAGACCTCGTCCCAAAGAGGGGCTGGGGAGCCAAGAGGCCTTCTCCAAGGCGGGAGCGTGGGCTCTAGCTGGAAAGTCTCAGGGTTTAAGGAATCTGAATCCTATTCAAGTAAAAAAACATTTAAAACACCTGATGCTCATGAGAACTACCCTGGGCCTCTGGACCTTTTCGGTTTAGGCTTTTATTAGTGAAGTGGGTCTAGTTAAAAAAATGCAGTTATGTTAAACAAAGTCTAAAGTGAATCAACTGGATTCACAGGGGCCCGGTTTGTCCACAGACGGATTATTATGGATCAAACAGGCTTTTGCTTCGGCCCTGGGAGGGGATGCGGGGAATACAGAAGGAGATGTACCTGGCACGGCCACCCTGCGGCGAGGACACCGCGAGGGCTTGGCTGTCCCCGCTCGGGGGCATGGCCGTGGCACGGGGCAGAAAGCATCCACCGCAAGACCCCGGAGGGCGTAAGGATGCCCAAAACCCTGGCTTTTCTGCAAATGCATCCGCCCGAGAGCTGCAACGACCTTCTCTCCAGCCCTGGAAACACAGCGTGTAGGACACCTCTCTGCTCCGCTCGGCGGGACCACAGCAACACGGGGACCGCCCGGGGCTGCCGGCTGGGTGCGCGCCTCACACCCGGTCCCGCAGGAGCTCATTTAGCCATCTCCTACCAAAAATAACGTTGAAACGTTCAGTAAAATAGAATTGTAACAACAATACCTGAGAGAGAAGGGGGAGAACCAACAGGAGTTGAAGGATTTGATGAAAAGCTGTTGTTGGTGTGATCTGGAGAATAGATCTTTAAAAGATGATACAGAATTAATCTAAAGCCATCACAAACTGATGCAGAAAGAAATATGGAATTCTTATGCATTCAGTTCATTTAAATGAAAGCAGGACAGGTTAAAAAGCCTCTTATTCAAATATTAATATTTTTATAAAGACAAAACTGTATTAGCTGCAGGAAGCTAGACGACAGACCCCTTTGGACGGGCACAGACACTACCCAATTAAGCGATGGTTTCTGATCGTCACATGGATCTGCTACGGTCAATATACACATTTTCATGACGTAGACTACTTTCCAAATGAGCGTCATTGAGCCAGGCCTTAAAGCACGCCTGAAAATGGCTTTTTTTTTTTTTGTTGTTGTTGTTGTTGTTTTTGTTATGCTGAAATCCCTTAACGGCCAAAATAAAGCAAAGGGAGCAGAGCACGTTAAACCCTGGCACAGCGGGTAATGGGCAGCAGCAGCCTCCCAGCTACTCATCTGCTGCTCCGGCGAGAAAGCCCCCGCGTGCCCCGTGCCGGGGCGAGGGTGCCACCGCCCCGCGGCGTCCCCGCTCACCACCCCGTGCCGTTTGTCAGGGCACCACTTCAAAGTGGATTCTGTACTGTATCAGTTGTTTCAGGCAAACTAGAGTCTGACTTTTCGTCTTTTTCAACGAAGGATCGAAGAATATGCAAAAAAAAAAAAAAAATAAAAATATTAACTCTCATGAGAACTCAATGGAACCCACTCTGCCCAGAAAATAAGGATAGTGGTCCTTGTTAAACGTCAGCCCGTGCCAGCTGGTACCGCAGCGATAGCCGGGGCACGGCCGGGCTTCCTCCCGCTCTGAGCTGGGAAAGCGCCGTACCCCAGCTACGCCGGTAAGAGGTGGCAACCGCTGACTTTTAACAGCAACCACGGTAACTGAATAGGTGGAAACTGCCGTGAAAAATAGAAAACCTAAAGGCAAATTCAAAAGGAATCCTGCCTGCGGAGGGCTCGGGAGCGCAGAAGTCAGCCTGCCGCTGGGTCCTGTTCAGACCTCCCTCGCCCTAGGAAACGCGGCGTGCGCAGGGCTAGCGGACGCGGCTCCTTGGCACCCGCTCAGCGCGACCAGGTCGAGCCTTCCCCTCTTCCCATTTCTAGCCTACCATAAAATGAAGTCTAAAACTTTTTTAAACACCGTTTGGCACTGATCGTTCAGTATTTCGGTCGGCAGTAACTCCACGCGGGTGACCTCTGAGACCAAGATCTCTCCCGTTTGCTGCGCGTCTTGGCAAACTCCAGGCGTCCAATTCTGATTAAAGCTCACACTTTCAAAACGGTAAACGTGTATTCCAAAGTAAATAGTTCCTTACAGAGGCAAGTGCTTTCCCCAGCGCATCACCAGTCTGCGAGCTGCCTGCTGCCCCACTTCCTCTGTTGGCTGAAAAACAAAAGACTCGATGTAAAAACAGACAGAAAGACATCCCAGACTCCCGCTCCCGGTCCACTCACTCATAACTTAATTGCATTTCAATGCTAATTACGTAAAATTAATCTTTAATTACCATTAATTTGTTTGCTAAGGTAGGTATCAAACGCATTCACGCTCCATTTTTGCAGGTAAAGTATAAACTTGACATGCTGGGGGTTTTTTAAAAAATATATTGTGTATTTGATAGTGCTTGGCCACGCGGCTTTACTTCTTCTGACCAGAAGGCTTCTGGCAGTAGAAGATGCTCCAAGATAGGGAAGATAGGCGAGCGTGCAGCTGGGCAAGCCGGCGGTGAGCCGAGGCTTGGGAAGGGCTCCTGCCCTGTGCCCGGACCCGGCGCCTGTCTCTAGGATGTGCAAATCCACCTTAACGAGGGGTTTCTTCAAAAACTCTTACACGTGAGGGCAATATTTCACCTACAAAATGTCAAAAACTACTGTGGAGGACCATTGGAAAGGTGGCAAAGACAAACTCCCTGGAGCTGGGAACGCCAGGGCTCGGCCTGCCTAAGCCCAGTTTCTCGGCGCTGGGCGCAGTCGTTAATGCCAAGCCCTGGCTCCCTCGCCGCAAGGCAAGGACAAAGTGCCACTAACGAGCAGCTCCCCGGTATTTTGTTTGCTCCTCATTCACCCCGTGACCCCGGCCCTTTGTATACTTTTCAATGCTTGGTTTAAAGGCGTTATTAAATTCCATACGGGCTTTTCCAAAGTGTTCCTTCCGCCTCCACTCGAACATTTCACGAGCATTTAATGCAATGATTTTTCACCATCGCTCAGGTGATGGGATTGCACCTTTTATAGAAGAAATTCAGGGCAAGAAAAATCATGGAGTAGGAGGCCACCAGCTTCTCATGCTCAGGTGACAGGACTGGAACTTCTCCGTGATGGGAGAAACCGAAGGAAAGAACAGTTAGGGCAAAGCATCCCACCAGTTTCAGCGTCTGTACCTCCATTTGTGAACTAAAAGCGCAGCTTTGACCAGCTGCTGCCTGCAATCACTGCTTCTCTAAGCCAGGCAGCCAGAAAATGAGAAACAAGCAGTCAGTAACCATCCCGGAAAGCCCGGATTAGCGCCTGGGAGGCGAGGGCTGAGGCAGGAGCGGATCCCGTAATGCAAGGGGGGGTGTTGAAGGGCTTTGGTCCCCTTCTCCCCCCCAAGCCCTCAGCAGGTTCTACACCACGAGGCTGTGGGATCCCATGCCCAGAGGACTTCAGGAGCAAACCCCCCCCTGCCCCAAGCCAAGGGCGTCCCACGGGAAAAGGAGGCAGGGACCAAACTGCCCAGGTTTGTACCATGAAGCGCAAGCACGGGCGCTTTTTTGGTCATTAAAAAGTAATATTAAAAAGCCTTCTCCAAGCTTCACCCCAGCATTAGGCAGTTAAATATTCCGGGCACGGGAAGGAGCAGGGCTGGATCCGTCCCACAGCCCCTCGACCGGGCACTCGGT